AACTACAGACTGAACCAAGGGCTAGGGGCTTAGGTTCCAGCTGGAACCTTCTGCTAGCTCAAGCTGACCTTCTCTGGACTGGAAGTCCAATTAGATCAGGCTTCTGTGACAATGCAGTTCTTGGCTTAAATGTCACTTCCTCCAGGAAGCATTCCCTGACACACACGCAGCCCAGGCCGGATCAGGTCCCAGTTGGTTTATGCTCATAAAATAAAGCAGTGCTTCTGTTTTATTGCACTTCTAACAAGTGTTTTTGTGTAATTTGATGTCTGTTTGCTAGCAAAACGAAAGCTCCATTTAGGAAGGGACTATTTCTTATTTCTGATTGTTTACCCTGAGCATACTGTGGGAGGAATTCAATGTATTTATTGGAGGGATGGAGGGGTAAGGAGTAGGGAGATGGGGGAAGTGGATGGATGAGGACTCACAGACCAGCAGAAAGCTACAGGTTGAATATAGACTGCAATGTATTTGTCCTAATGGGCACTAATTAAGATCATGGCAGTAAATAAGACAACCGTGAAAAGGGCAGGGACTGATTGGGAGACTTCCTATTGGGGACAAGAGAAGGAAGTGATCAGGGGAGCCAAAATGGGTTCACTAATAACAAGTCACCCACTCCTCCATTCAGCAAGCCTTAGCTGGGTACTCACTGAGTACTAGGCATCATGCTGGGTGCTGGACATATAAGGGCAAACTTCACAGAGCCCTGACCCCAAGTGACCTCACCTGCCTAAGGGCTGCCACTCCCAATCTATGTGTGGGAAACTTGGGAGGGCCCAGGCAAGGCTGGTTGGGGGGCTCAAGACTTGATTACGTGGGTCTCTTTTTTGTGTGTGTGTGAGGAAGATCAGCCCTGAGCTAACATCCATGCCGATCCTCCTCTTTTTGCTGAGGAAGACTGGCCCTGGGCTCACATCCACGCTGATCTTCCACTTTATGTGGGCACAGCATGGCCTGACAAGCAGTATGTCGCTGCGGGCCCAGACCTGAACCTGGGCTGCCAGCAGCAGAGCGCATGCACTTAACCGTTATGCCACGGGGCCAGCCCCCAATTACGTGGGTCTCTTAGGAGTGCAGATCAGGTTTCTCAAGCACGCGGTCTGGAATGACACATCCCAGGGCTCCTTTCTTGGCCCTGATCTCATCACTATATATATCATTATATTTATTGGTGGCTTGGATGAAGTTGGAGAGGTCCAGTGCTCAGACTTGTGGGTGGACAAGCTGGGAGGCAGAGCAGAAAGAGTGGGCAACAGAGCCAGGATCTCAAAGGCTCTCAACAGGCTGGAGCCCTGGGGCAACCCTAAAAGATGGTGTCTAAGAGGGGCAAATGGCAAATGGTTCTCTGGATGTGCCCTAAACTCCAATATCACAACCCCAGGGAGAGGAAGGGAGGGTGGACAGGGACATAACAGACACCTGCTGTAAATAGACACCTGCTGTAAACAGACACCAGCAGAGGAGCACAGTGCATGGACATTGCTTCTGTGTCCAGTGTTCGTGGTCACATAGCACAGAATCTGGCATCCAGAGGGTTCTTGAGATGATTGTGCAAACGAGGAAAGTACACTGAGTTTGGAGTTGGGCGTGTGGGTTCAAGTCTTTGGCCTTGGACCAATCAGCAACCTTCTCTGAACTTGTTTTGCCATCTATAAAATGTTAGTAATAATGCCCATTTTTCCCAATGAGATAATGGATTATCAACTCTACAGCCTAGGAGATGTTGGATTCTATTATTAAGACACAGTCCCTGCTTTTGAGCACAAACAGAAGCACAAAGAAGCCCTTTCAACACAGCCTGACAGTTGAAAGACAACTCTTGCCCTGGATAAGGGGGAGGTGCTTAGGTGGAGACATGAGCAAGAGCATTCCAGGCACCATGAACAGAGGGCATGGCGATGGGAGGCGGGTACAACGTCCAGAGCACTGCCCGAGGGCCACATGCCCAGGATGTGGACGCTCAGGAAGGGGAGGAGATCAGGGTGGCCAGCAGCACGTCAGGTCAAGCACAGCCTTGTAGGTCATAGCAGGAGTCTGGACTGAGCACAGCGATACTAGAAACTAAAGGTTTTAGGTGTAAATCACATTTGCATTTAGAAAGGTCACCCAACTGCCACAGGAAGGACAACTGGAGAGGACCAGTCTGGAGGCAGGGGAGGCCAGGCAAGAAGCTGTGGCAGTGGACCCAGGGCTGGGGGAAAGGCTGAGAACAGGCAGTAGCCACATGACTTAGAGGGTGTTGAGGCCACGGGACCAGTGGTCAGACAGGGAAGAGGAGCGGGCTGGCTTATGCTGTCACTCCTCTGTGCCTCAGCATCATGGAACCCCAGGAAGAGCTCGCTGCATAGGCTCTAACGTAGACTGACCCAGCTTTCGATTCTAATTCCCTCACTTCTAGCTGTGCGACCTTGGGCAAGGTACATAAACTTTCTGTAAAATGGGGACAAAAATGCCTACAGGGTTAACAGGGGAATGACATAATGACTATAAAGTGCCAGAAGATAGACGGCTCATAGTATTTGGTAAATGTCATTCAGAATGCCCTTCCCCCTTTTTCCTGATCAAAAGTCACCTTATCACTCCAAGCATTACATGTTTAGGGTCTTCACTAGCACACCTGCCTGCCTCCTTGCCTCCTTTCATTCACATCCTCCAGAACGTAAGCTCCAAGAAGACAAGAACCTAGTCCGTCTCCTTCATCACTGCAGTTCCAGCACCAACACAGAGCCTCGTCCTAGCAGATGCTCATTAATGTTTGCGGAATTAACTGAGCACCTTATAGGTACCATTCCAAATGCCAAGAACGTAGTGATGAGCAAGACAAAGTACGGCTCTCAGGAAGCTTGTTTGAGTGGAGGAGACAAAAAAACATATGATTCCAGATAGTGACAACACTATAGAGTACAAAGGGTGACATGTTAGAAAGTGTCAGGGGAGCTGTTTTACAAGTGGTGATCAGGGAAGGTGACACAGGAGCCTGTGTTCTAAGCAGAGAACAGCTAACACACAAGCTCTGAAGCAGGGACCAGCTTGAGATGATCAAGAAACCACAAGGTGCTTATGTGTCTGGAGCACGATGAATGAGGAAGACACCCAAGAGGAGGCTGGAGAGGTGGGCAAGGGCCACTCCCCACAGGGCCTTGCAAGACACGAGGAGACAGGCTTTTATTCTCAGTGGGGTGGGAAGCCATTGGAAGGTCTTAAGGAGAGAAGTGACTCGATCTGATTTACACTTTGTATAGAGAAGGGACTGGGGGATAGGTGAGGATGGAAGCAGGGAGCCCAGTTAGGTTTTTGCAGTGTCCAGACGAGAGGCAGTGGCCTGGGCTAGAGCACAGTGGTGGAAGTGGACGCAGTGGGTACTTACTTGCCACAGTGACCACCTCCCCTGCCCCTCGGCAGCATCTGGCCCCCTTGTCTGCCGTTGCCCCCAGCCCTGACCACCTGGAGAGTAGATGTGTTTGTGTCGATGTCCACCACCCACAAGCCCAGGAGCCTCCGGACGGGAGCCAGGCTTGGCGGAGCTCCAGCACCGCTCAGCACAGGGCTGGGCTGTCCACGCTGGAGCTCCAAGAGTGAATCAATGAGCCAGTGAAGGAATGAAAGAGAGGCACCCCACCCTGCAGCCTCACGTCTCAAAGCACAAGAATATCAGTCACCAAAAAGAGAAAAGGGGCAGGAGAGGGAGGAAGCTGGGGCAGATGGCGGGTAGTTTTATGAACGATATGAGGCAAAAGGACACAGCAGTTACAGGGAATCATGGCAAAGTGCAGCTTCTACGCGGTCATCCCAAACTGGGTGTCCATGTGGTTTGGGCCCTCTAGTCAGCCCTGCGGTGTGGGGCCTCACGTCTGCCCTGAGACTGGCCCCACCGAGGTAGGGACACCATTGGTACAGAGTGCAGGTGCCACTGGGCGTGCAACCAGAAGGAAAGCCCCTCTGGAGGAGTAGGAAAATCGGGAGGGAGGCGGCCTGGGGAAGGCAGATCGCCCTGAAAGGAATTTGAAGTAGGCCAGGAAGCTGGGGACCTGCCCTGCCTGAGGGCTCAGGCTCAGACACGTTTCCAGCAAGCAGGAGAGTCAGGGCCAGGGCCAGGACAAGCGAGGGAGCTCTGCTAGCGGGGCGAAGAAGCCTCCACGGCCCGTCACAGACTAGCCACCCTTCCACCCACCAGCCAACGCAGTCCAGTAAGAGGCGGGCTGGCAGACTGGGCAGAGATGAGACTGCACTGAGACAGCTCACTCCCATCCCAACTGTCAACTCTCAAACCTCCTTCCCCTCTACCCTTGGGCCACCACCCTAGCTCAGGCCTCAGGCCTCAGGCCTCAGGCCCCCTTCCCCAGACTGGGCCCACAGAGCAGCCTCCTTATCCCTCTCCAGGCTCTGCCCCTCCAGTCTACTCTCCTCTCTGCACCTGAGTATCCTTCAAGAGCTCCCCATTGCCCTTAAGATAGGATTCAAGTTCCTGAACTAGCCCCTCAAGTCCACCTTGATCTGGCTCCCACCTACATCTCTGCTGCTTCTCCTGTGCCCATTTAACATGTCCCCATCTACCAAACTCATCCTGGTCTTTGGGCGTACTGTTCCTCCTCCCTGAGATGTCCTCGTCCCCTATCTCAGCCTCTGGGAACCTTCTAGACTCAAAATAGGTCCTCCTCCTTCAAGAAGCCTTCGCAGAACAATCCAGTCCTTCGCCGGCCCCGTCAGGGCTCTCTAGCAGATCACTTTGTCTCGTGCCCGCCTCCCTAGGCCTGTGGGTTCCTCTCTCCAACGGCACCAGCTCAGGGCCAGCATGCCAGACTCCCTGCTGCCCAGTGCTGGCCACTGAGGACAAAGATGTAGCCATAGGGTCCCTGCTGTCAAGGAGAGCCAGTGTGCTAAGGGAGGCAGACCCACCCACAGATGCCCACCACACAGGAGCGACTGGGAGGAAATAGCCCACCTACTCTGGGGCTCAGAGGAAGGAGGGGAGGCCTTCTGGAAAAAGGGATCTGAGCTGGGCCTCAAAGGATTTAATGGTAGAGCAGCAGAAAGGGCATCCTTGGCCGAGGGAAGGAGCAAAGGAAGGAAGAAGAGGACAATGTCTAGCAAAGCAAGGCTTAGTCTCAGGGGTGTGGGGGGAGTACCAGGGCTGCAACGCCCACTCTAAGAAGCCTGTGTCCATTCTGTGGGTGACGGGAACCAGGGGAGCTTTTGGAGCAGGAGACGGACATGCTAGAGTCGGGCTCCAGAAGGTCAAGTTTCCAATCCCCTGTGCCCTAACAATGACAGCCAGAAAGGACACAGTTAGTGGGCCTTTGCCTATGTCATACCCACTGGCTGCCACCTGGGGGGTCAGGGCAGAGAGAGGGGACCAGAGAGGGGAGCAAGGTCCAGACTCAGGGGGTCTGCACTTCTTGCAGGGGATCAGGAGAGGGGGACACGGAAGGCCCTGCCCTAGGCTGAACATCTCCTCGCAGGGTGGCAGCTGTGCCCTGACTAGGCTGGATGCAGATCGATGTGGGTCTCAGGTCCTCCAGAGCCAGGCGGGCGGGCGGGCGGGCGGGCAGAAGTCAGGATGGCCGCTTTTCAGGGGTCCTCAGTAGCTCCACCTCCCGCATGAACCGCAGACACAACTCTTCCTGCCAGGGCAGAGCCACGCACTGCACGGCCACAGGCAGCCCCACACTCTTCTTCACGGCCTACAGGGGACACAGGCATCAGGATGGGAGGTAGCGAGGCAGGACCCCACCCCAGGTCCAGGCAGCACCCCAGCTGGAGAGGAGGGCAGCACAGCAGGCCAGGCCGCAGTCTTTAGGGGTCTTGGTTAAGAAAGACAGGCAAGCTTACACTGTTCCCTCCACAGCAGCTAGAGTCGGGGTGCAGGTGTGAGTCCAAGGGAAGGGGGACCCAGGGGACCAGTGAGCCACATGGCCTCACCTTCTGCAGCACCTTGTCCCAGATATCCCCAAAGTAGCCCCTGTAACGTTCCATCTGGGCCTCATCCTCGGCGGTCACTGTGGTGACGGGCACCACCCCCGCTGGGAAGTTCAGGCAGTTGTAGAGCAGAGTGTAGCTGACAGCCCCTGAGACACAGCACAAGTGGCTGGAGCAGGCCGGTGACCTTCAGTGCCAACTGTCCTCTGTGTGCCTCAGTCTTCCACCTGTGAAATGGCACCCCGCCTCCACAGACAGGGAGAGGCTCTCTCCCAGGACGGAGACTTGAGTGAGTGACAAGGCCCAGGAATCCAGATTAGGGCAGGTGGAGAGCCTGCTGATGCTTCCCTGTGCCTGGGCCCACGTGGCTTCCCCGACCTGAAATGTTGCTCCTGTTTTCTTAGCTTATCTAAATCCCCACTGGACTTCAAACACCACCTGCCAAAACCACGGACTCTGTAACTCAAGATCTCCAACTTGAATAGTGCTGAGGACAGGGAGCTCATTCCCTCCCAGGGCATTCCACATGACTCCCATCTCTCCAGCCAGCCAGACTGTGAGCCCCCTAAGGGCAGGGTCCTCCCCTAGGGGTGCAGCCCTCCCCCAGAGCTCTTCTACTTCCCAGCAGTCCCATAGGGTACAGGCTGAACTCATAGAAGAGAAGAGACAGGTGGGAGTGCCAGGGGTGTGGTGAGGCAGCAGGCCTCACCTGTGGCCCTCCCTGGGGCATTCAAGTCCAGAGCAGGGCCCAGCATGGGGGTAAGCAGCACATCCAGGTCCAGCGCTCGCCACTGGGCAATCACGGAGTTGCGGTACACCTGGGGAGGACACCGGCACAGCCGGTGGAGCACTCAGACCCAGCCCATCACGTGGACTCGCAATACTGGGACTGAGGCTGGGGTGCCTCTGGCCCCAGCACCCGCCCCTGGGTCTGAACTGAGCCTCGATGGGATGAAGGTCCTCGGGGCACACAGGCCTGGCTGCTTTCAGGGGGCATCAGCTGCTCTACTCCCACATGAACCATAAACACCATTCTTCCTGCCAAGGCAGCACCAGAGGCATGAAGAGGCATCCGGGACAGGAGCCCCAGCCTGACCCAGCCCCCAAGGACAGGCATCTGGGCAAGTGAGGGTCAGAAAGCAGGGCCCAAGCAGACCAGGCCAGGGAGTAGAAGGGGGAATGACAGCCCACTCCAGGGGACCAGTGGGACCAGGAGACAAGAGACCCTGCTGGCAGATGCCCTGTCCAACTCCACCCCACCTACTCCAGTCTAAGGGCTCTGGCCTCACCTCAATCTCGTGCTGCAGTTCCCAGAGCTTTCCAGCCGACCTGGGCAAAGGGAGTGAGGTCACGGGCATGATGGTTACAGCCACGGGGATTAGCAACATCAGACCCCTATTCATAACACCTCCCAGATCTCATTGCTCCATGAACCCTTCTCAACTCTATGGGAGCTCTGAGAGGGAAGCAGTGCAGAAGTTCAGATCCCTAAGTTCATGTCCCGTTGAGTCGCCAAGAGGGACTTATGCTGTGTCACTTAGTGACTCCACAGCAGAGCCAGGACCCAGGCCAGCCTGATTCCTAGCTACTCTTAAGACACCGGAGAGGCCAGAGCTGTCACAGGTCCTAAATGCCTGCTGGTGAGGGAAGGAGCAAATCCACAAGACATCAGGGCCTGAAAATGGGGCGTTTATTCCCTGCTTTTCCCGCTGAAGCCGCTGAAGGGCAGGCAGGACCCGGTGCGGCTCAGTCCAGCTCCGATCTCCAAGAGCAGCATCTCTCACAGGTTCCCTGCGATCTCCCTCTCCCCTGCTCCATACCAACTCCTTTCCACCCACGCCCCAGCCAGGTCAGTCTTCTCCTCTCCACCCTCTCCCATCCTGTTATCTCCCTCAGGCCCTTGCTCTCCAGCCAGACCTGGACCTTGCTAAGACAACTTCAAGGTCCAACCTGAAGGCCACAGAGGTTGCCACTCTGCCTGAGCCACTTCCAGCCTCAGAAGCTACTTCCCTCATCTTTTCCTGTCAGAAACCACAGGGACCCAGATCAGGGGAAAAGGGGGGCAGGCATCTGGGCATGGGAAATATTCTTACCGAGACTTCATGCTGCTGAGAAAGGCTGCCAACCTCGGGAGCTGCAGGACAGACACAGAGTCAGTGACTCAGCTTTGGGCCAAGTGCTAGCAACAATCCTCTTCAGGCCAAGCCACCCATGCCTCCTCCCTCTGTCCCCGACCCAGGTCCCAGGTCGGCACCCTTTCAGCATGTGGGCTGGGTGAAGAGTGCAGGGCAGGGTGGGAGGAGAGGAGTCTGGGTGGGAGCTGGAGAGGAGAGGGGGCCATGACTGCCCAAGCCAAGAGAAGCTAAGGGGTGGGGGGAAGAGCCCCAGAGGGTCCCTCCCAGCCCACCCCACCCTTCCCACTCCTTGTGCCCTCACCAGAGGCTTCAGCAGGAAGGCCAGAAGTCCTTTAAGCCACCTGGGCAGCTTCAGAATTGAGACCAGGTCCCCCAAGCAGGGGTCCACGAAATCACCTTTGCTGGGAGACGAATGGTCCAAGTCCAGGCACCCCCACCCCAGGTGCTCCTCCTGGCTTCCCCCAACCCACTGCACCCCCATTCTCTACTCAGTGACCCTGGCCACCCTGCTCTTCATCAGACTCCAGTAACCACTGGTCTCCAACCCCTTCATCTGCCTCCTTTCAAACATGTGATTTGTTTCTGCTGCTCCCTGAGGATGGACTTGTTTCTGCCTGGGCTCTACCCCACACCCACTGGAGCTCCCCAAGAGGGGACTCTGTGTCTCCCTCTCTGGCAAACTCAGCTTGGAGCAATAAGGACTGAGGGGAACACCTCCCCGGCCCGAGGTTCAGACTGAGAGCAGTCTCCCCCTGTCGATGCTGACGCCAGTCTGGAGGCACACTCAGTGCAGTCCAGCGTGGGCCGCCATGACACTTGTCTCTGAGGCTGGCTCTAGATCTCAGGGAAAGATCTCAGGCGGCTGACCCTGGGGCCTCATTCCCAGGCCCAGAGTGAGGGGCAGCCCCTTCCGTTGAAGCCTGGACCATACTCCACTACTGGGGGATGTCTAGGCACAGGACCAGAAGGCACCTTCACAGGCCTGTCCTCTGCCCCTGTCAACCTTTAAGGACTGAAAACATCTAAGCGGAACCAGCTTCTGTAACAGGAGCTCTGCAAAGTCCCTTAAAGCAAGTCTGGTCCAACCCGCCCACTTTACAGAAGAGAAAACTGAGGACCTGCTCAAAAGGGAAAGACGTGGCTCAAGTTAGAAAAGCCTGGAGTCACAGCTTGATGTCTAGACCCCTGCCCTCCTGCTTGATCCTGCCCTTGTCTCTCAGTCTTTCCCAGACAGGCAACTCCCTGCCCACCTCCTACCTCCCAGCAAGCTCAGCTCAGGGCCAGCCCATGGACGCTCACTCCAGCCTCTCCTCATGCTGGCACCTTTCCAAGTCTCCCTGGCAAGGTATGTCTAGGCTCAAGCTGCAGTTGGAGAGGCGGCGAGGTCCCTGCCCAGGATGCTCAGAACTTCATGTTCAGCTGAGGCCTGTCCCCCATCTTCCCCCAGACTTGCCTGTCCTGGGGGTCATGGCACCCAGCTGCTCTCCCTGGGTCTGCCCACCTCCTGATCCCACCACAGACCCCAAAGCCCAACATCACTCACAAATTCTGTAGAAAGCTACTGCCGCCGTCACTGAACAGCCCACCTGTCGACAGGTTCTCCAGAGCATGGGGTATGTCACTTGGCAGGAAGGGAACCAGCTGCAGGGATTGAGGGGTGTAAGGCCCCAGACCTAGAAACCTTTGGTCCCACCATCCCCGTGTGCTGCCCAGGCGGCCCTGAGGATGGACTGTACCAACTTGGCCTGCAGAGTAGCCCTCACTGGAGCCACAAAGGCAGCCTTATTGGCCCATGAAAACTCCCTGTAGGAGAAGGCCAAATACCGTATGATTTCCTTCATTAAGTAGTAGATAATAACAACAATAAACAAACACATAGGGACAGAGATTGGATTGGTGGTTACCAGAGGGGAAGGGGGGAGGGGGGAGGGTGAAAGGGATAATTCGGTACATGTGTGTGGTGATGGGTTGTAATTAGTATTTTGGTGGTGAACATGATGTAGTCCATGCAGAAATAGAAGTACAATGATGTACACCTGAAATTTTTGCAATGTTATAAACCAATATTACTGCAATAAAAAAAAAAAAAAAAAAAAAGAAAACTCCCTGTAAAATGCACATCATGACAAAAGTCTGGAGCCACACCTGAACTTGTCTCAGATAAGCAGACCAAAACCCACTGGCCCACCATCTCAGGGCCCAGGGACCTCTGGACAGCTGTGCACCACCGCTTGTGGCTGACGAGGCCCTCCCGACGCAGCGCTCACACATCCCAGCACGGGGCTGAGTTCACCATCAAATCACTTATCCCAATACTCCTAGTCAGCCCCCTATCTACTGGTCTCCCAGGGACACAGTTCCCATCCCCAAGCACGAAACAATCTGGGTGCAAGGACGCCAGGGAAGGGTGGCAGCCGAGGGTACCAGGAAGGCTTCCCTGAAGGAGGGGCCCTGCCAGGACTTCTGGGCTCCCGAAGCCATACCGTGTGGCCGGCAGCCTCAAGGCTCTGCTTGGTCTCCAGCAGGGCCCGCCTCATGGCCGGGGTGGGCATGGTATAGTTGTCAGTTTCATAGTACCCCACACGCAGGGGCTGAGAGCTTGTGTAGACCTGGGGGGCAAATACAGGAGTCACGGTCAGGTCAGGAGAGGGCGGTCTGACGCAGGGTTCCCAGAGATCAGAGAAGCTACAGCCCTAGACACAGCTGCGAGGCCGCAGCCTGGATCCCCTGAAAACTGACTGCCGGCAGGGCCGGCCCCTTCTGCACCGACCCTTTCACAAAACACCTTCACAATGACTCTGCAGGTGGGCAGAGTAAGGATGAGGATTCCCATTGGTCACATGAGGAAACTGAGGCTTCAGGTCTAGATAGGGAGACAGGTCCAGAGTGGATGCAGAGTGACAATCCTAGGCCGGAACGGGCATCCTACCTCTTGAGCCGAGGCTCTCCACTGCCTGTTTCAAGATGCAAGTCCTGGCTCCCACGATAAACTGTTCCAAACCTCTGGACAGGGACCTCATCACCTCCTCTCCTCCCTCTCAGGAAGGGGTTCAGGAACCACTATGTTCCCTTAGAACATCCTCCTCTGCTAGGGAGGGGGCGCTCACCCACCCAGCCCAGATCTCCCGCCTGCCAAGAAACACTGAGGCCCACTCTCCTGTCCAGGGACCCTCAGCCCTTCTGAGGCAGCCTGCGCTGGGAGAGGGTAAGAGGTCTGTACAGGAGAGACCTGCCAGACCGCTGAGAAGCAGAGCTTACTCACACAGCTTACTGTCTATGTTACCGTGACCTGACTATTCCACTGTCTGCATCCGTCTAACTTGACTACTCCTGAATGCTGTGTACATAAGTACAAAGAACTTTATTGTTGATTCTTGAAAGACCCATCAACTCTTCAACAGAAGCGTCAAATGACAGTGTATACCCCAGCGCTCCCTGAACCCCTCACCTCAAAATCCTCACCTCGCTGTGTCCACCGATCCTAAACTATGACATCGTGATCCTTATAAACCAAGTAGAAAACTCACCTTAATCCAGACTTCAAAATCTCAACAAATATCCCAACCTTGCCCCCTCCTCCACACCCCACCCACCCCACCCTGGCGGCACTACTAAGGCTCTGTCGAGGCAGCACCCTCCCTCACCACAGAAAGTAATAAACTCAGCCTTGTCTGACCCATAGGCCGTTTTGGTGATATTTTAGGAAGCCAGCATTCGACACCGCCCACAGATCCCAGCTCTCTTCACTGTTCGCTGTCCTTAACTCACTCAGCCTACGTGCCAAGCATCCTACCGGAGGCAGGGGATATGGACACGAATACAGTCACGCACTGCTTAAACGACAGGGATACGGTCTGAGACATGCATCGTTAGGCGATTTCAGCATTGTGCAAACACCAGAGCGTACTTACACAAACCTATACCACACACCTGGTACTATATGGCTATATGGTATTAATCTTATGGGACCATCGTCGTATACACAGTCCAGACAGAAACATTGTTATGCAGCACACAACTGTACTGTAAGAAAGGCTCCTTTTTGCTGATGGTCAAACACAGATGAGGCACAGGAGTTCTCCCTCTAGCTGTTCTCCCGCTGGGAAGTGGTTTCTCAGTGACAACAGCAGAGCCTGGAGCCAGAAGGTGGGGCCTTTACTCAGCAGAGGCTCCTGCTGGCCAATTTCAAAGACTGAGTTTCTAAACGCAGGCAAGCGCTCCACCTGGTGGCTGTCTGCAGAACAGCAGCTGATTCTGGTCTCAGGCCCCAAGGCAGTGGTTTTCAGGAGACAGAGCCTCCAAGGCATGCCCACACTGCCTGCGGGCTGCTGTTCTCTGGGCTCAGAAGCACCAATGATAACCAAATCCACCCCTACCCGTGCTCACCTCCTCCTTGAAGGGCAGGGGCGGCACGGTGGGGTCCAAGCGGAACATGTCGTCACACAGCAGCGCTCGCAGGCACAGCGCCAGGCTCTCCACGTCTCGGGCCATGGGACCGACTGAGAGCTGTACTGTGGGGTGGGGAGGGGAGGGAAGAGAGATCACCCAGTCCCAGTGGGCTCTGGAGCTGGGCCCAAGCAAGGGCGGGGCCATGGTCCAGGAGTGTGAGCAGAGACAAGGAGGTAGGAACTCAGACCTAGTGTGGCCTAGGAGCCAAACGCTGCCCCAGGAGAGACAGGGGCAGAAGTGGATCAGGCAGACCTCCCTCCTCCAGGGCGCTGAGGGAACGACAGATCTCACCTGCCACCTGTCCATAGACACAGCCCTTCAGGCCACTCTTGCTGAATAAGAAACACAAGATGTTGGAAACAGGCAACGGCCACCCTCTGCTCAACCCCACACCCATAGAGCAGCTCCCAACTCACACCACTTTGGAAACAAGGAACCAAGCCCAGTGGTACTGTGACATTCCCTCCCAGCAAAACCCCAGTGAGGGAATCCCTGCCTGGAGCCCAAAAAGGGGGGAACCTAGGCTAAGGTCACACAGCCAGAGGCCCAGAAGCTCCCTCCACCCACCACCTACACCTTACCTGAGGCGGTTCCCCGTGGGCTTGAGGCCGCAGATGCCACAGAAGGCGGAGGGAAAACGGATGCTGCCCCCAATGTCAGTGCCTAAGCCCAGTGGGGAGCCTCCAGCCCCAATGAGGGCCCCCTCGCCCCCCGAGGAGCCACCTGGGCTCTTGGAGGACTTCCATGGGTTCATGGTCTGGCCGAAGAGGGGGTTACTGCAGTCATAGCTGGAGGAAGCAGGAATGGGTCAGCCCATGTCACACTGGCTTGGGTGCCCCTGCTCCCACTCTGTACCCCTGAGACCCAACCTGAACATGGACTGGGGGATGTTGGTGTGCACGAAGGGCACAGCGCCCTGCAGCTTCAGCACCTGCACCACCACGCTGTCACACTCTGCTGGCACCCCCTCGTTCAGGCTCAAGCCCAATGTCGAGTCCTGGCCCTAGAAGGAGGGATGGGCACCGAGAGGGACATGGCCTATGAGTTAGGGGCCCTCAGCAGCACAGGGCCCACTCCCACCACCATCTCCCTGGCCAAGGCACACACACCATGGTACCCTCTCAAGGCCTCTGGACCTGACACTTCCCCTGAGGGCCCGGGGGACCCAGGACACAGAGCTGGCTAGCAGGGGTGGGAGTGTGGAGGCCTGATACTGAGGCAGGACATACCTTGTAGCTGAAGCACTCCTTGAGGCTCACAGGGACACCGTAGAGCAGGCCCTGCCTTGGGGCCTGGGACAGCTGAGTCTCACAGTCTGCCAGGTAGGTGGTCACACAGTTAGTCCCTTTGTTCACCTCCCAGGCCTGGGAGAGGGAGAAATGGACACAGGCAGAGTGAGGCTGGCCTTTTTTTAAATTGTGGTAAAATATACATAACATAAACGAGGCCTTTTAAAGAATGCCCAGGGAAAGGTAGCCAGCAACAGCACCCAGAGTCAGGAGCACAGGGGATAACCGAGGGCCAGCACCCACCTCACTGAGGACATCTGGCCCCAGCCTCACCCTGGCTGTCTCTGGCTTTCAACCCAAGACGGAGAGAAAGTACTCCCAAGGCCGGGACACAACTGGGCCACTCAAAGGAGCAAGACCCTGGCCTCAGACGCCCTCAGAGGGATGAGCCGGGAGGAGGGTAGCCGTTGGCCACTCCACCTCCTCCTCCAAATCACATCTCTGCCCAGTGAGGCAGACGGGAACTGGACAGGAACAGATCCCCATCTCAGGTCGCACTGGGAGGCAGCGCAGAGCAGGGCTAGACCCAGGCTCCAGCCTCCCAGAGCCCAGCACCCCCTCTGCCCCACGCCTGGCCTGCACCTGCCCCAGCTAAGCCTCCCCTCTCCCAGGAACTCTTGAATCTGATAATCACGTCACGTGGAGGAGTGATGACTGACACCGATTGTAGTAAAGGGGTGGGAGCCTGACTAAAAGGAACCATGCACTAACATTAGGTGGCTGTCTGCCTCGGGGCCGGCCTTTCCGGAGCCCTCAAATCACTCAACAGAGCCCTACAAGACGGAAGGACCAGGGCAGAATGAGATGCAGCTTTCAGTCCATTCTCCTGTTCCTGTGAAACACCTGAGGAAAAGGGGTGTGGGCCCTGGTGCCATACTCAGGCACAGGAAACATGACCACGGCAGGAAGGGAGGAGGCAGATCTGTAACCCGAAGGCTCTCTTACGGATGATTAGGAAGGGCGAGAACTTTTTCAGGGACTTGGATAGGGAAGAAGCAACACACTTGAGACTGACCCTCAGTGCACCCGGCCCAGGGCGTTCCAGTCCTTTCTCCACAGTCAGTCTCACTCTCATCCTCTCCCAGACCACTGGCATACACGCCCATCAGTCACCTGACACTCATGTCCACCTGCTTAGCAGTCACACTCACTATCACACACTCTCTTTCAAGAAATCATACACAAATCACACTCATAAAGCACAATTCTTTCTTTCATTTCAAACACATTTCTCGAGCACTTACTATATGAGACAACTAGTATTCAGCACTGAGGTGCAAAGACAAATAAGACGAGTTGTGTCCATAAAAAGTTCACATTTGACATGGAAAAGAAGGACAAGGCAAGCCCTGTGATGAGTTGAGAAATGTGCTGTTAGAAAGTGAACACTGAGGGGTCGGCCCGGTGGCGCAAGCGGTTAAGTGTGCATGCTCCACTGTGGCGGCCCAGGGTTCGCCGGTTCGGATCCCAGGCATGCACCAACGCACCGCTTGTCAAGCCATGCTGTGGTGGCGTCCCATATAAAGTGGAGGAAGATGGGCAAGGATGTTAGCCCAGGGCCAGTCTTCCTCAGCAAAAAGAGGAGGACTGGCAGATGTTAGCTCAGGGCCGATCTTCCTCACAAAAAAAAAAAAAAGTGAACACTGACGAGGAAACCCTAACTCGGGCTGGGAGACGAGGAGGATCAGGGGAGGCTTCCTGGAAAAGGCGACTCTTCTCTGAGCCCTGACTCAGCCAGGGGAGCCTGTTGCACCAAGTGGGGCAAGAAGAGGGAGAAGAGCCTTCCAGGTGAAGGGGACCCCCCATGAGCCAGTGCAGAACATGGCAGGCCCCGGGTGCCAGGCAACTGCCAGCAGCTGAGCTGCTGACGCCCCAAGTTCCAGAAGGCCTGGGCCAGAGAGGATGCTGGAGATGGAGGAGCAGAAGAGCAGAGCCTGAAGAACCGCAGATCTGAGAGGGCATCTGGCCAGCAGGCTGGCACTTGGTCATGGAGGGAGATGGTGGTGGAGAACTAGGGTGGCTGAAGGGGCGTGGGGACAAGGGGGTGAACTAGAGAGAGCTATAAGAAGGGAACAGACCAGACTTGGTGACCGATAGGGTGGGGGCGGGAGAGAGAGGGAAGTCTGGGCTGGAAGCCAGGCTTCGAGCCAAGACAACATGCTCAGTGTCCCCCCCACCACACACAGAGTCAGCCTCTCTTCTCTCTCTGTCTCTCTGTCTCTGTCTCTCTCTCTCTCTCTCTCACACACACACACACACACACACACACACACACAGAGCCACTCTGTCTCCTTCCCTTCCTGGCAGCCCCTGGCACTGTGGTCCCACCATCGCCCTCAGCAAGACAAACTCCAGGCCAGGTTTTCCCCACAGCCTGTGCAGAGAGAGGGAGAAGGGGGGAGCAGGGAGGATTATCAGCTGCCTTACCTTTCCCACGTAGGTGAAGAGCACAGCTTCCGGGGACAGCTCCCCACTGCGTAACTTCTGCGCCAGTTGAGGCAGGGGCAGCGCCAGCAATGCCTCGGAGTCCAGGTCGGGGTTCTGGGGAGATACCTCAGATCAGCCCCCCACTCCCCACAGGCCCCGTGTGCCTGCAGCAGACACCTGTGGCCCATGGCCCGAAGTCCCCACACCTACCAAGCAGATGCTCACTGTCACGTGCCAATCCATGACAGATATGCCCACCCGCAGCTCTGACACCAGAAATGGGGCCCAGCCTGCGCAGGCCCTGCCACCTGTGAATGGCGCAGATATATCTCTTCAAGAAGCTTACTGGAGGGGGTGCCCAGGAGAGGCCACGTCAGGCTGATTATTACAGCGTTACAAACAAGCACCACCAATAGCTGCCTACTGTGTGCCAGGCGCCGTGCTGGTGTGCGCTATGTTTAGATTAAATCTTACCACATTCCCACTGCACCGATAAAGAAACTGAGGCTCAGAGAGGGGAAGTGCATTGCTTAGGACCATACAGGTAAATTATAGTGTCTGTCCACTCAGCACACGCTGTCCACTGGCTGTCCACCTGCTCCTGACCACCCAAACCTGGCAGGGAGGGTGAAAACAAGAGGACCCCACCCTGAGCGGCAGGGGCTGTAGCTGGAGGTCACATCCAAAAGAGAGGCCTTTTGCATTCATCCACAGACATGTATTAGGTGCCTACTCTGCACCAGGCACCACACTAGGCTGGGGGTACAGCCATGAACTAATAAGGCATGTCCGTGTGAAACCAAGGCATGTCCGTGTGAAACCGAGCATGAAGAGGTTAACAAGCCCTCCCTGGGCTAGAAGAAGAGAGCAAAAACTTGGAGATAAGCTTTGCTAACTGCAGCTGTGCATATTCAGCATCATCAACTGTTGTGTTAAAACTAACCAGGTCTTTCTGTCCGTCCCTAGTATATGAGTGAGCTGTCTTTCCCAGGAAGTCAAGGTCCCGACGTCAAGATTCAGCCTCACAAGGCCAAATGCAGGTTGAAGATGAAAACTAACCAGAAAAGTCCAGACAGTCAAGGGAAAGAAATTCAGTCTTCAAGGCCAAACGCAGGCTGGTGGGAAGGTGCCAACCAGCGTGGCCACATGCACCCCCTCCCTTACCTAAAACCCCAGCACGTGCTCTCCCTCACAACCTTTCAACCCCTTGCCTCCCATCTTTCGGGGAGACGGGACAAATTTGAGAGCTCTCGTCTGCTGGCTGACATCACCCAAAATAAAAACTCTTTCCTTGCCATGAGCCTGGCGTTCTAGTTTTTTATTTGGCCCCTCTTGTGTGGCGGGTAAAGAACCTGGGTATAGGGCCGGCCCCGTGGCTTAGTGGTTAAGTGCGCGCGCTCCGCTACTGGCGACCCGGGTTCGGATCCCGGGCGCACACCGACGCACCGCTTCTCCGGCCATGCTGAGGCCGCGTCCCACATACAGCAACTAGAAGGATGTGCAACTATGACATACAACTAACTACTGGGGCTTTAGGGGAAAAAAAAAGGAGGAGGATTGGCAATAGATGTTAGCTCAGAGCCGGTCTTCCTCAGCAAAAAGAGGAGGATTAGCATGGATGTTAGCTCAGGGCTGACCTTCCTCACAAAAAAAAAAAAAAAAAAGAACCTGGGTATATACCCAGTAACACAGGCTCTGGAGAGTTTACAGGAGGTGGAGGGTTGGGAGTGAGCAGATAGTTAATAAGTAAAGAAATAAGAATTTTAATAGTGAGAAATAACTTAGAAAAAATAAAACCAGGTACGGTGAGTGGGCAGCATGCAGGCACAGTGGTCAGGGCAGAGCTCTCTGAAGGAGGAGGGACATCTGCTTGGATACCTGGCTCCCAAGGCCTCGAGGGCTCCCAGAGTCTCTGGGGTTAGACCCTGCCCACAGACACACGCTTGCCTCCTCCTCCAGGGTACTGGGCTAATTGGTGAAGGCCGCTAGAGGAGGACACCCAAGTCACAGCCCCCATCTCTCACCTCCACCCTTCCTGCTCTTGCCATAGTCCCCAGGGACCTCCTTGTTGCCAAATCCAACAGACACTTGACCGTTTATTCGGCCCCCGTCTCACTGAGGCATTCGCACAAAGGGGTTGAGTCCACAGAGCAGCTCTCTTCAATTTCCTCGTGGGCATGGAGATTCTACCCTCCTCCGTGTTCCTCCTGCCTCTCTGCTACTTCTGTCATCCACTTATTCAGTCAGTCAACAAACATGTTCTCAGCATTTATTATGTGCCAAGGACTACGTGAGGGGCTATGAATTTAGAGGCAACCAAGACAGACGAGTCCCTGCTTTGAGAGAGCTTACATTCAAGAAGATAAACAAGTTTACAAATAATGGACAGATCATGGTAAGTGTGAGAAAGCAAATCAACAGAGCCCTATGATGGAAACAGAGGGCTGAGTAAGATGGGATAGGCAGGCCTCTTTGAGGAGGCGACATTTCAGCTGTGATTTGAAGGACAAGAAGCCAGATGTGAGGAGAGACAGAGGCTCCTTGAGGTTCCTCTTCCCTCTCTGATGCTGGGAGAAGTCATTCCTTCTCGTGGCTTCCACTCCAGGCTCTCCACCTATCCCGCGGCCTCCTGATCCTCCACCCAGCCTGACCCAGCTGAGCTCCACTGTTCCCACCCTCTGGGTCCTTCCCCCTGCGCTCCACTCCCCGACTTTCCACAGCTCCTCCTCCAGTACCCTTACTCAGGAAGGGCATGGCCATCCATCCAGATGTTAAAGTGAGAAAACAGGATCATCCGGGACCCCTCTCTTTCCCTCCCACTCACATCCAGTCAGCCACCAGGCCCCCCAAATGGCTCTGGGAAATGGCCACCTCTCCATCTGCTCTACCAAGACCCTCAGTGGTGCTCATCCTTTCCCCACTCATCACACAGGGGCCGCGTAACCGGCTACCCCACCCCCGCCTTGCCGCTCCCACCCACCCTTCCTGCCAGGCAGACAGTGCAAAGCCCAACCAGGCCTTGCCTCTCCCCTTAAAAACCCCATCGCACCACAAGCTCCAGAGCATGTTCCAGGTGGTGCTTCCAGGCCATGGTCCTGTCAGACTACTCTGCACCCCCTCAATGCGACACCACCCACTCATACCCACCACACCCCCAGAGCTGAGCACCCTCCACACACACCCATCACACAACCTTCGTACTCCGGCCTCAATTATCAGGAACACTCTACCCTTCTCCTTTTTTTTTTTATTTTATTTTTTATTTTATTTTATTTTTATTTATTTATTTTTCCCCCAAAGCCCCAGTAGATAGCTGTATGTCATAGCTGCACATCCTTCTAGTTGCTGTATGTGGGACGCGGCCTCAGCATGGCCGGAGAAGCGGTGCATCAGTGGGCGCCCGGGATCCGAACCCGGGCCGCCAGTAGCAGAGCACGCGCACTTAACCGCTAAGCCACAGGGCCGGCCCCTCTACCCTTCTCCTTAATTTGTTAAAGGGATACAATACTTACTTGGGATTTTTGAAATAATACAGGGAGCTACAAAGAAGAAACATGGATCCCTGATCTCTCCCCACATAACCGCTGGTGATACACTTTTTAAAAAGGTATACAAAATGAAAAGTGAACATTTCCCCCACCTCTAAATGGGACCACCCTGCCCAAGCTCTCTTCTGAAAAGAAAACCATAGTTAACAGTTTCTAATGAAACCTCACAGGAAAAAAAATTGTTCATGAAAAACCCACAATGTACATAATTGCTTACATATATTCTATTTGTGCACAAAGGGATCATACTATATACACAGTGCCACATCTTGCCTTTCTCACCTCACAGTGAAAATAGAAAGACTGCTTTATTTTTTTCTGATTATATAAATATGTGCTCATTGTAAAAAAAAAAAGTGCCTGACAGTATGAGGAAGAAAGTAAAAATCACCAGCGAGCCCACCACACTGCAGTAATTACCACTGACAGTGTGGCCACCACCATTTCCCACCTCGCTACAAGGTGCCCTCCAAGTCCTGTGCACCTCAGCTAGAAGCTACCAGCAAGCTCCCGCCTGTTCTCCGCACAAATTTTAATTCTTTCCTATGTTGTTCCATGTTGACAGTTGATGACATCGTTGCTAACAGCTATTTTTAACTCTTCAACTAGTTATCAAGCAGCTGAGACATTTTCTCTTTCACAAGACACCAAAGTAAGTCTGCATCTCCAGGAGGCCAATCTGCGAACATGGGGGAAATTAAATTTGCGTGGAGAATGCAGGAAAGTGTACACATAACCTCCAACTAAGCATGTGGCCAACCTGTATGCAAACTTTTTCAAGGGAAGGATACTGGAGGTGTCATGGAATCACTGCCCCTCCTCCAACTGTTTTTCTCCCTCTGAACCACCTACTGTGCTAATTTCAGGTATCCTAGACTGTCCTCCACGTCTTTTTTATTTTCCCTCATGGTTTTGATCACTTTGTTCTATTTCAAGATATCCCTTCCATTTGATCATGTAGGACACTGATACTGGTCTCAACGAAAACCACATTGTCCTTCAATTCATCTACTGAATCACTTTGTTTTAAGGTCAGGTTCAAGGTGGGCTTGGAGAAGGCCTGGAGATGGAACTACAGGTCAGATCCAGTTGAGGGAAGTGGCATTTGCAAGACCAGTGGGATTCTGACAAAAGGGGTTGTAAGAGACATGGGAAAGAGGCATTCAGGGTAAAACCACAAGTGCACAGGCACAGACGCATGAGCAGGTGTCGTGTCACGTCTCTCCCAGCCAGAATATTCTATTAATGGTGCTCCCTCTCTTCTATCTAGAAAATATTGAAACTCATGTCGGGGCAGGGTAGAAAACGATGGGCAAAGGGTTATTACAAGTTAAGCCTCACCTGGTCAACAGAGAGTTCCTAGAAACACACCTCACTCCAGAGCTGCTTTGGAGCCTAGAGAGGTGGACCAGTGTGTGATGGTTCAGGAGGTGCTGAGGGTCCCCCTCCTCCAGTGCCACCTCGGAACAGAGGTAGCTGGGCTCCCAACTAGCTTCGTCCAGAGTCTATCAGGCGGGAGCTGCTGTGTTCTCCCATGGCCTGCCCCGGGCCCTGCTCACCTCAGTGCCCCTTGCTATTTAGGGCTGGGCTGAGAAAGCTCCAGAAGAAAGGCTGCTAAGACAGCATCAGAACCCGCCTCTTTGTCATCCAGCAACCCCAGAGCCAAGCAGAAGGCAGGGAGGAGGGAGGAGCTGGTCCCAAGGCTGAGGCAGAGTTCAGTTAAAAGTCCACCTCCTGCCTGCCCCCAAGGCCTACAAAGCTATTGTCATCAAGCCCCACCCATTTGCTGATTGCTCAAAATAATGAGGCTCCTGAAATTGTTCTCCCTTTGTTCTCCACAGTCATTGGAAAACTAAGAGGTAAATTTCTCCACCCGGAAGAGCCAAGCTTTGGTGTTCCGAGGCCAGGCTCTCTTGCCCCATAGGGGTTATGTAAACAGCTTTTTGTATTTCAGGGTCAAAACTTCTACCCTGGAAGATTCAGTTCTTAAAAATAATGAAAGGCAGTTGCTCCAGAGGGAAACTGTATAGATGCTGATGTTTGGAGTTGAAGTGAGGAAGACCCACCCTTCTACCACCCCACACTCCTGCCAGCCCGTGCATTCCTTGCGACTAGGAGGGGAGTTCCGTAGGCAGTAACTGTGGGCACATTCCTGCAGCTGCCCCCACGCAGCTCTTGGAGCTGGCAGAACTAAGCTGGCTGCACAGAAGGACTTGGGGCCTCCGGAGCAGCCGAGGGTCTCCAGGCTGAGCCGGGGGTCATTGCAAGGATCCCTGAGCAGAGCACCCAGGAGCTCAGCCAGAGAAGGAGGACTAAACAGCAAAAAACCTGTGCTCAAGTAGGGGAAGTGGCCAGTTTGGATTAAACACCTAGAAATTGACTGATGGTGGACTTTTTAGGCAGCTTGATGAGTGGAGGCTGGAACCAGATCGATTTTGATTTCAATAAATAAATAAATATGACATATCCTGGCCCAGGAATGATGTGGAGTAAATTCATACCATTACATCCAGCCAAAACCTCACCGTAATCAAGGCCGCACCCTGGGCCTGGCATTCAAGGCCCAGTCTCCTTTCCTAATATCTCTCCCCTGCTCCTCTCCACTGGAATGAGGCTGGATAGTCCCGCTGGGCATCTACGTTCTAGCTACAGCTCTGCCTCAACTCAAAAATCACTTGCTATAGCTGAGCATCTGCTAACTGCAATTTTCTGTGACTCCCTCTCTTTCTCCCCCCCAGGCACATCCTCTGACTCCTGCTGTCCCCATCACCTGCAAAGTCTTCCCACAGTCAGATCCAAATCCTATCAAACACAGACCCTCAACACTCGCAGGAAGTCCTTCCTCCCTCAGCAGGTAAGAACATCTCCCAGAGTTCAGCATTTTGACTTCTACCTGGGTTCCATGTCTTAAGCCCCCTTTTCCACCCCCATACACACACTGAGCAGATCACCAGGGAAGGGCTGGAACTAATCCTGCTCACGGAATGTGCTTGTGGGGGGTTGGACACCACGGCCTGAGCGGCAGGAGCTGGGGAGACTTTCATTCCACCCCAGCTCTGCCAATAACTCCCTGTGCACTTGAGCAAGTCTCCTTCTGGCTCCCTCCTAGGGTCCTCAAGCACAAATCAATGAGTTTAAACTGTAAACTCTCCAGATTTCCTCGGCCATCACTCCATGATGCCAAAATCCAAAACCCTAGCCTCCTATTGGTTCTCATGCTCGCGTGTTAGCGTTCCAATAGTCAGTGATATTGAGATTCTTGGGCATCAAGTAAAGCTCCTCTTTGACCCGTTGCGGCGATGGCCTCCACAACCTGCCCAACTCCTTTCATTTCCCTTCCTCTCCTCGGTCCCACCTGGCTCCGAAAGAGTATGGAATGTATTAGGGCGAGGAGGGGCTCGGAGAGTTACAAACCTGCGCTGCCCGCCACCTGCCCCTCCGAGCGCCGGGAGGCTGAAAGTGCTGTGCGGTACCCCCCTTCCCCCCTCCACCCCCACCCAACCGTCACCTGGAGCCGGAAGCGCTGCGCAGCCTTGCCCATGTTCTCCAGCGCCGCTTGCTGCCGCTGTCGCGCCCGGGCCGCCGCGCCCCGCGCCGTCCGGCGACCGGACCAGCGCAGGGCCACGGCCGCCGCCACCAAGCAGCAGGCCAGGGCAAGCCCGGAGGCGCCGGAGAGCGCGGCCCACAGTTCGTCCAGCACCATGGTCTCCCGCCGCCTCCCGCTGCCAAGGGCGACAGATGAAGGATCAGCACGCGCCAGTTCCGCCGCAAAACCCGGCCTGGATCGCCGGGGATCCCGCGCCCGCCTGCGTGGGCGGGGCGAGCGGGGAGCGGGCCGTTGCCAGGCAGTGGGCGCGAGGCCGACGGCGAGCAACGGTCAAGGTCAAGCCCGGCGGCCCGCCTGGGGTCGCTCCCCGCGTCCTCCCGCCCTGCACCGGGCGGAGCGGGAGGGGCACCCGCTTCCCCGGGGCGCCCTCGGAAGCACGAGCGTAGCAGCGGTTCGGCGCCGCGGTCCGCCAGGCCTCCGCCCGCGCACCCCAGAGCCCCGACTCTCGGAAGACGCAGCCCAGCCCGAGCCCTCCGCGGGAAAAGCCGGCCAAGACCGCGGGGAGCAGCAACAGTTGGGCTCGCGGACCTGGTTAATCCTCGCAAACAGTTTAGCAGCAGCTTTCCTGGAGAACCTTGCGTGCGGGTCGTGCACCGCTGGGCGCCCACCTCTCCCCTGTGCGGGGCTCCCGGGCGCGAGCCCCGAACGGACACAGGAAGTTTTTTCAGCGCGCCCACCTGCTGCCCCCTCCGCTTTCCCCAGTGCTGGGACCCCGCGTCTGTCGCCCTGGGCTCTTTTTTATGGCCAAACCACTCATCGCTTGTCCTTTTGCTCAGCCACCTCCCGCAGACTGGCCTTCCCAGGGTCACCCTTTTCCGGGCCTGGACCCTTCTGGGTTTCACCCCCAGGAAGCAGGAAGAACGCCTGACCAGGGGGAGTTTGGGGACCTGGCGCCTTCATTAGCGGCGTGGGGGGATTGCATACACACAAATGCTTCTTCAGCCTAGGCTCTCTCACAGGACTTGATGTTTATGTGCTTTACCTCATTTGTCCTCCCAACAGACCTATGAGGAAGGCATTTTTATTATCCTCCTTTTACAGATGAGGTAACTGAGGACCAGAGGGGTTAAATGACTTCTGTGGGTCACACAGGTGGCTGAGTGAAGATTCAAACTCTAATCCTGAACCATTGCTCTTAACCATCAAGCAGAACTACCACTACTGCCCCTGGAAGTGAGGCTCTGTGGGATGGGGTATAGGAAAGTGCTTTGTGACTGGAAACATTGTCTGCTGAAACACTGTGCTGTCGCTCCAGTTCTGTCTTTACTGCTGAATCTCGGCCTTTACCTGAAAGGAGGAGGGTTATGATGCCTACCTCACAGGATTGTCAGGAGGAGTCTGTGAGGTCCTTTACCAGTGGTGCCTGGCACACAGTAGGCCTCCATAAATGTTTGCTGACGGAATGAAAGGCCTGGCTATGAAGAGCCTTGAATGTTATTGGAAGAATCCGGACCTGAGGGCCTTGCAAGTCACTGTTAGGCTCTTGAGCATAGTTGGGAGGGGGCCAAGGCCTTGTGTTTCTAAATCTTTAGTCCTTGTTGAATGCTGCTGAGTTCCTACTCACCACTGATGGCCCTTTGTAAGTTTCAAATCCGTGGACCTCAGTTTCCCTAGAAGAGGAGAGCTGACAGATGCAGGGTGATGGAAACCCCAATCTGAAGTAGGTCTTGCAAGGTCACCTCCCCCCATCTCCTGATGGAATAAAGGGATTCTAGCCCTTGATTCACCCTTCACTTGCTGGGTGACCTTGGGTAACTCAATTTTCCCTTTTGTAAAATGAGAAGCATTCTTCCTGACCCCCTCTCTCTGTCAAGAAGGAGAAAATAAGATTATAGTTATGGGGAAAATCTAGCCATTCCTGAGGCTTAATCATCAAGTTTGTAACCTGTTGTGAGTTGGGCCAAGATTTGTTAATTTAGGAACTCCATTAACAAAATACGCACTTGTGTGTCTTTGCTGTAATGATGATTTTTCTAAGTAGTAGCTTCCTGGGGGCATATTAAACAGGACTGAATTTACAGAAAGGGTCTGGAGGATCTAGGTAGGGTTTGGAGTCCAAGGCAGCAGGTCTTGGACTGAGTCTAATGTTCAGGTCACAGTGGGTGGCCACTTCAGTCCTCTGAGAGAGGATCCCCAGACCCTTCCCCTCTGACATTCTGTGGTTCAATTCAGCAGACATCCACTGACCCTTGCTACTATAGGCCCCTTGCTGTGAGCTAGGGAAACTGAGGCAAGTACTATATCTCAAACCTTGTGGTTTGAGGCCTTGTGGAGCTCAAGGTCTGGTTGGGAAGGAAAAACCCTGCATAGCCCAAAAAACAAAAGACAAGCTTTGGTGGAAACACAGAGATCATGCTGCATGAACCCGAAGGGCCTTGATGTCAGACCCTTGGGCAGAACAGCGCTCGGGGAAGCCAGATAGCACAGTGGTTTAAAGCTTGGCTCTGGAGCTGGAGTGTCCAGTACCCCATCCTTGTTGTGTGACTGTGCCCCAGTTTCCTTCCCTGTAAAATGAGGATAATAATAGTCCCCCTCAATTCTCTAGTACTATTGTAGAATCAAATGAGTGAACATAGGTAACAGCCAGAACAGGACCTGGCATATCGTAAGCAATCTACGCATGTTAATCATTATATTATTATTGTTATTATTTATTATTAGAGAAATAGCTACAGAGAGGTGTTTTCTGGGCTTAGAAGCCCAAACTCAGGAACCAGACTGCCTGAGTTCAAATCCTAACTCTGCTACTTATTTACTGTGTAACCTGGAGTAAGCCACTTTAATTTCTTGTGCCTCAGTTTCCTTTATCTACAAAATGGGGGATAATAATAGTGACTACCTCACAGAATTGTGAAGATTAAACGAGTTAATTGGGGCCAGCCCTGTGGCAAGCGGTTAAGTGCGTGCGCTCCGCTGCTGGCGGCCTGGGTTCGGAACCCGGGCATGCACCCGATGCACCGCTTGTCAAGCCATGCTGTGGCGGTGTCCCCTATCAAGTGGAGGAAGATAGGCACAGATGTTAGCCCAGGGCCAGTCTTCCTCAGCAAAAAGAGGAGGATTGGCAATGGATGTTAGCTCAGGGCTGATCTTCCTCACCAAAATAAATAAATAAATAAATAAATAAATAAATAAATAAATAAATAAACAAACAAACAAACGAGTTAATTCAAGGAAAGATCTTAGAACAGCACCTTCCCGATTATAAGGGCTCAGTAAACATTAGCTCATTACTTTAAGCAGAGATGTGATGCAGTCCTACCAGTGTTTTGGGAAGGCAATGTAGAGGAGAATTGGGAGAGGCAAGCTGGAGGCAAAGGCCGTGGAATGGAATAGCAGGGCAATGCGAGGATCCGAGGGGGTGGGTTTCCAGGCCTCTGCCCTGTGTTATCAGAGAAGCATCTGTGAGTCAACACCATACCATTTGGTGAGCCAGAATAGCATGTACCTGCATTCAGGTGGTGGGTGTAAGAGCGAGTTACTCCTACCTGCAGCAGGTAAGTCCCTCAAGCAGGTCCTGGTGGGTTCTCTGAGCAGGATCAGGGTCCTCCCCAGTTAGCTGGTGTTCTTGAGCAAGTCATCCTTATGTGTCCTCAGCTGTCAAGTGGGAAGACAGGTGATACCCTGCTGAGCTGTCTTGGAGGTGGGGGCGGTGCTGCAAGGGCGGGGAGGAGAGCCTGCAGAAGGGGAGGGAGCTCCTCAGATTCCAGGGCGTTTAAGTCTGTCTCTGTTCTGGGCTGAGAACAGAGAGAGTGTGCCCTGTTCTCAGTAACTGCTCTGCTTCTCTGTTCCCTTTCACTTCTGTGAGCCTTTCCTCAGGTGTTGTGAGGGGAGGACAGGAGGAGGACACAGCCCTGCTCCAAGGAACTCACAGTCCCACAGGTGAGGTAGGACATCGCACTCAAAAGCGCCATGTGCGGCGCTTTACAATTTTTAAAGCACTGTCAGGTCTTTGACCTCAGTTGTTGGAGCCCCCTACCACCTCAGAGGCCCCCTACTACCCTTGCAGTTTCCTCTGAGTTAGGGGAGAGTCTGTCTCCTGTGGTACTTTGATTCAATAAATGATCCCAACACTCCACCCCTTTCTGTATCTGTGCTCTGTGAAAATAACTTTGTAGCTCCTCCCTCTAGAAGGTGGGGTCTATTTCCCGGTAAATCTCAACTGACCTTTGTGACTTGCTTTAACTAATAGAATGTAATGCAAGGAATGTTGTGCTAGTTCTGAGCGCAGAATCCAAGAGAACTGTTTTCTGTCTCTCTCCTGGAACCCTGCCACTGCCATGGGAAGAAGTCCAAGCTAGCCTGCCAGAGGATGGGGCCAGGTAGAGTACAACCTACTCAGCCCAGTTGTCCCTGCTCAGGGCCATGCTCAGGTGAGAGCACAGTCAAGATGAGCAGAGCCACCTGACTGCAGATACACAAGTGAGCTCAGCCAAGCCCAGCTTAGCTCAGCAGAACCACCAACCAACTGGAAAATTCAGAGAATAATAAATGGTTTGTTTAAACCCCTAATTTTGGGGTTAGTTTGTTACAGATCAATAGCTAACTGATATACCTCCCAATTCCCATTGGTATATCCATCCATTGCCCGGATGGATAACTGAGGCATGCAGACAACCAGTGACTTGATCAACGCTACATAGCCAGTGGGGGGCCCAGTTGTGTGTCAAACCTGGATTTTTGAGACTCAAAATTGCTGCTGCTTCTGTAACAGACATCTAGACTTAAGAACTGTTATTGAAAGTTCCTGGGCCAGCCCCTGTGGCCTATTGGTTAAGTTTGGCCAGCTCCACTTTGGCAGCCTGGGTTCGGTTCCCAGGCATGGACCTACACCACTCATCTGTCAGTGGCCATGCTGTGGTTGCAGCTCACATACAAAAAGAGGAAGATTGGCAGCTGATGTTAGCTCAGGGTGAATCTTCCTCAGCAAAAAAAAAGTTCCCAGTCGTTAGCTTGGAAACATACCAACCATACATCACCTTAAATCTATTTTCCTCAACCTACTTTAACCCATGCCCTCTTTGGATATACATGAAATGCTATGCTTTCTCCCTCCTAAAATTTATTTGAAACTGTGGGGTAAGTTTCTTTATCTTTCTGCATGTGTTTCCTCATCTGTAAAATGGGGATATTGTACTACCTCATTGGTTATTAAAGAGAATTAAATAAGTTAATGTTAGTAAAGTGTTGAGAACAGTGCCTGACATATAGCAAGTGCTATATAAAATAAAATAATAAAATAATGACTAAAAACAAGCCACGGCAATAGCAATTTTATTGAAACATTTTTATTTTGATCCTGAGAGCTACTTATTTTTCATTTGGATCTGGTGACATCAGTGTT